CTCTCACAGCATCAAGGTGTATACAGTGAGTCTAAAGAAGACAGTTTTAGCAGTGCACAAAGATAGAAATCAGAGCCGAAGGCCCTGGATTTTCAAAGGTCATGAAGAAAAAGCAGGTTCCAGGTTATAGTATTTTATTTATTTTTATTTTTACTTTCTAACTCTGGTGGAGATGTGAAGATAGATGATAGAAAAGTAGTTTGACTAAGATATGATCAGGGGAAAATATTATAGAGCATGGAGCAAGCTTGTTGGCATTCGTTTAGCACCCATGACTAAATAACTTTGCTGAGCACTTTCTGATATATGATGTACAGGCTAAGGGTAGGTGGTGAGGAAAAGCAATGTCAGCAGAAAAGTAAAAAGGTTAGATGAGGGGTCAAGGATATCCTCCATCATCTTCTCTGCAACAGACCCCAGAGAAATGGGCTGAAAGAATACAAGGCACTTATATTCGGCTGCAAAGTTTCTGGAATTTTTCTTAGTTTGGGTGACTGACCTAAATAGAGGGCTTTTCTAAAATAGAAATAGAGACTTGTTAAAACGACAGGGTGAATTTAATAATAGCTAACATTTAAAGCGTGCTTTCTTTGTGCTAGACGCCCTGCTACATTCTGTACAAGCTGATGCCTTTCCCCACCAACTTAGTGGTGAGAACACTGCTTAAGGTCCTATCTTTGTAACATGAGGGAAAGGATGTATTTAAAAAGACTAATTAATATGCCCAAGGTCACACAGTCACTGTGCTGTAGACATAAGATTTGGATTCATGCAGCCTGTGCCCATAAACTGTGTTTATTCCTGTATCAAAGTGTTTATCACAAACATTTCTGCATCAATAACACAACTATCCTTAGACCTCTTACTCTCAATCCATAGCAAGAATGAGGACTTGGTTATTTTGCTATATATAAGGAAAGGTGCACTCTACTTCAAGAAGCTCATGAATATCAAACCCTTAATCGTAGCTATTTGGATGACATGAGTTCATGCTTTACAAACCAACCATGGCCTTAGTCACATTAAAATCAAAGTTGCAAAATAAAGATGCATTCTGGAAATTCTTGTCTGCTTCATTTAGATAACAGTGTGCAGAATGAAATGCAAGATAAAAATGCTCAGAGAATTTACCATTTCCTTTTTCTCTCTGGAGCTCTCTTTTTAAACGCAAGCCCCATGGTGTTATGGATGACATCATCAGGCAATTTGGTTTGAATATGTTCTACACTGGACTGTGTAGATTACCTAACTAATGACATGCACACTCCTGGCCATTGTGACACCTCTCTTCTTACAAGTGGGAATTTCAAGTGACAGACTAAAGCTGTTTGCTATCAATTTTGCAAAAACCACATCTGCCAGATAGCCAAGATTTAGTTTAGAGACCAAAATCGATTAATATTCTAATTTGTTACCTGTCATTAGCATCTTATTGTGTTACGCCAAGTCAAAAGTGATAACCTTTATATAGCATACACCCTGAAGGAATTTGAGTTTAGGGACATACTTTATTTTGCTCATTGCTGCTTTCTGTCTGAAAAACTCCTTTAGAAATATCAATTACATAGTCAGTAAAAGTTTTAATGGATTAAAATAAAAATGTAGAATATTTACTGCTATACATTTTTTAATAAAAAAGCATGACTGTATTAAAATATCATTTTCTGAAACCTAAAGAAACCCTCCCCTACCAGTGGACTTGGGGAAGGGCATACGTGGAGAAGGGGGATGAAGGGAGGGGTTGGGAGGGGAGGAGGGAGGGAACTAGCCGGGGGATACAAAGTAAAGAAAGTGTAATTAAAAATAAAATAAAAAATACAGAAAAAAGAAAAAACAAAGAAACTAGATATCAAAAAAACAAAAACATTTTTTAGATATTTACTTGTTTTATTTTATATTATCAAAGAAAACATTAGCAACACAGTACTTTGTACAGGTCTTAAAGGGCTCCTCTTTTTTCTAGCCTTGTAGACGACAAGGTGAAAAGCAAACCATTTTTGAGGGAGACACAGAAATCTGGTATCATTTCCAGCACCTAAAAAGGGACATAGACTAGGGAAGATCTCAGGAAGAAGTAAGAAAAGCTAGCCAAGGGAAACTAAACAAAGGGTTTCCTATGCAATTTATTTCTAGTTGATTCTATTTCTACTGATGAACAGAGAGGAGAAAAAAAATATAGCGACTGAATCTTTGTGAGAAAGAAGTGAGGAACATCATAAAGATGAAAATATTTTACTTTTTAGAAGTGAATGGCATTGGTAAGAACAGAAATGGAATTTCAACACTTACAGTGTAAAATCTATGTGTTAATTTGTTAGCATCTTATGGCTACAGAATCTAAGATGGAATGTGTAGGATATAAGTTGAATGATAGTCATTCATTCATTCATTGATCAAATATATGTGGAGAACCTTCTATGAATGACATAACTACTCATAAGACATACATAACTTACTTTACTCATAGAATTTTATTATTTTGGGAAGATCCAAAATAATTAAAAACCAAGTAGTAAGTAATACATATTTTATTCTAGATTGTGCTAAATAATATACTGAAAAAAAAGAGCAATAGTTTGGACAGAAAGTGCTGGCAACAACAGACGAGTTCAAGAGGGTTACGTTTGTAATTACTGTGGTTGGATAAATTCTAGGTAGGAGGATGGCATTTTATGAACACAAACATGATGCAGACATGTGGTATACTGTTAGCTGGGGGTGCAGTTCAGCTCAGTGACTACCAGGCTTGCTATGTGTCTCTTTCTCGTTATTCTTCCAGAGGAGACAGTTACACGTGAAGCAGGAGATATGTATGTTATTGTTTCTTTCATGGTTTTCTCTGATAGCCTATGATGTGCTTCTCTCATGGCAACTATTTTGATAAAATAGTCTTTAAGCCAGAGTTTATATCTACAATGCATATATAGGCTTTATATCTGGAATTTCTAACCCCAAAGTTATATAAAAAAATACTTCAAATTTTATGATAGTCCATTAGCTGCGCAATAGAGCAAAAAGGAACTGAGATCTTGTTGTTCTTACTCAAGAGCTTGAGCTACTGGACCGTCTCTTGATTTTCATCTCTTCCCTTATGGGGCTTCCTGCTGAGAATAGTAATCACCAACAACTCTGTTAGAGCAAGCTCCAGATGAAGCTGAATTTGTGAGCAGTGTGGACAAATCCACTCATTACTAATCTTCAAGGCATGAGAAGATCTTATAGATGAATTTTCATAATGTTGTGTTTCATCTGAAATATTCTAATAGCTTATTTATCTTCTCTTCTTAAGATTTCATTGGGTACATCCAAGTTATCCTGAGGTCCCAATATGTTGTGTCTTCTGCTACGTAGAAATTAAATTTCTGCCACTCTTGTTCTAATTAAAGGCATGGTTTTGAGCCAGTATTAAGAGGCCAGCACCATGTTGGTATGAAAGCCAAAGAGTCTGCCAAAAAATATTAAAAGGCTACTACATGACAATCAATATTCTTGGTCACAGGAATTGTGTCCAGAGCTTTTTCTGAACACAATTCAGGGGCCATGCAAAAAAGGCTAATAATCACTTTGGGTTTGATTACTTTCAGGGAGGGAAGGAAATCAATCTTTGTAAGTTAATAATTATGATTCTTCACATTAGTAGGGTAAAGAGTAAAGCAATGTGATGTTTTGAAAAGAAAAACAATTTGAAAATATTTGAATTAAAATATTCTTTTGAGATAAGTATTCAACAAATTACGTGTAATAAAGTTGTAGTTCAGTATGCTAAGGGTGTACACAATAGTCTCAGAGTAATTATTTAGAAACATTCTCTCTATAATGCAGAAGGCAAATATATCTTTACAGTTTTATACAGTTTAGTATGGCAGGTCTTAACTCGAATAATAGGGCAGGAAAAAGAAATAAAAGACATCCAAAATGGGCAGGAATAAAAGATTTTCCTTTTCTGCACATGACATGATCACATAAAGAGACCCAAAGATTCCATTACCAAACTTTTAGAACCTAATGAATAGACTCAGTAATTAAATGCCTTAATGTACAAAGATCAGTATTATTTATATGCTCTGTCTCAAATGTAAGCCAAGAGAACAATCCTTTTTACAATACTAAGACAGAAAGCGCTCCACATTAACCTACATTGTAAAATTTTATTTATTATTATTTCTGTGTGTGAATGTGTGCGTGTGTGTGTGTGTGTGTGTGTGTGTGTGTGTGTGCATGCTCACATATGACACAGAGCACACATGGAGGTCATAGGAGTTGGGGCTAGGAGGTTGAAAAGAAGGTGAATGAGATGGTCAAAGGATACAAACTTTGATTTAGTGAGGAAAGTAAGCTAAAGAGATTTATTACGCAACATGGGTTGTACTAATCCGGAGCTGTGTTAGGACAGTGAATGCTGGGTCTCAGCAGTAAAACATGTTTCTATGTAAGGTAGTGCACGCCTGCTACTCAGGAAGGCTTAGTTGATATACAGTGCTTAGACCTCAGAATACCTCAAAATAATAAGTTCAGCAATCGGCTTTGTGTTTCACACTGACAAATAAAACAAATTAAAAGCAGTTGAAAACTTTTGACATATTGACAAATAAATGAAAGAAAAACAAGTTTAAAAAGTACTAACAAAAGAAAGAAAATCAAACTTGTAACAGTGAGAAAGTTTCAGCTAATCTAGTCTCTCCTGTATAACAATTCCATCATACAAATCACATATAACATAACCTGCCGGCATCACTATTATCAGAGAAACAGAAAATGAAGGACCAACCTACAGTAAAACTAACACGCAAAACTTCAACATGACCTGTGATATTATTTATAGAATACAGTTAAAGAAAAAAACCTCTCATATTCCATTTCCAAACCCGCTTCATTTATCATTGGAGCACTACCAAACAACACTACCGAGAAGAATAACAGGTTGAGTTCTGCTGATGTTCCAATGAGCCTATTGATTATTCAGTCTCTTCCTTCTATTCAAGTGCAAGGAGTATACTCACATGGAATTTTATGCAGTTCATTCATAAACTTCTCCTTCAGCTTGGAAAAGGCATCTTCCTTCCCTTCCCCAGGACTGGCTGGCTCAGTGGCATTATGTGGGACAATGGTGGCTACAGTGGTGACTGGCGGGGCGGCCAGGGCCTCATGATGACTCTCGCTCACCATTTTTGGTTCAATGGAAACTGTGATGGGGGAAAGCAAAGAGAAAGCCAATTTAGAATGCCAGGCCTGACCCCATATTACAGGTGTCCCCGAGACGGAAACACAGGGCACACACCTGCTCCCTGGGTAAGCAGCCTGTCATTAGCATATTACTTTATGTTGGCTCATGAAATATTTATGGAACCACAGTGAGTGGAGCGCTCCTTCGGGGAAGGCTAAGACCAAATGTAGTTACTGACCAGCATCCTCTCCCGGCAATGCTGTGTAAGCTGTCAAACCCATTAGCTGTGTATACAAGCCCAGTTTTGCTGAAAGTGTGTAGGAAACAATTGCTGACAACATCCGTGTTCTCTCTATACTCTAAGCATCTTATATTATCTTAAAAGACAAACACAAATTATGGATATTAGTGTTGGAAACGTTGCTAGGTGATTGCATACATTCAAAATTTAAAATGACTGTGCATAACAGCATAATACCGGAAATCTAGGACACCATAAACCTTATACAGCAAGTGTTTCTTGAATCTCTTCTCAAGGATAAGTTTTAAGCCTAGTCATTTTTTGACCTTTACTGTAGGTGATACTCTCTGATCAATAATTTACTTGTTCTGCTAGGTGGTATTTTTAGGTCACTGTAAATGTGGCATAATTGACTCCATATATCAAGACACTGATAATGAAGCAGGGCTTGCCTGCTTAATTATTTAAATTCATCAAGCCTCATTATCTTATTGAATTATTTTATCACATTCACCCATTCAATCATTTTAAATGTTTATTTACCTTTGGACTAAAAAAAAAAAGCCAATGTAAATTAAAACATTTTTGCTTTAAATTGTGAAGACAGTAATTTTAGTCTTATTCCCCAGTTAAATGAATTTTGAAATGTTGTATGACCTCTCAGTTTGACCCTTACAAAATAGGAAGTAATGAACTTTGCTGTCTGTCTTACTCAGGGGTCACTACTGTGAAGAAACCAAGATGAGAAGCAAACTGGGGAGGAAAAGGTCTATTTTCGTTATGCTTCCATATCCCAGTCCATCACTGAAGGAAGTGAGGGCAGGAACCTGGAGGCAGGAAGTGATGCAGAAGCCATGGAGGGGTGCTGCTTATTAGCTTGTTCTCCATGGCTTGCTTAGCCTGTTTTCTTGGAACATCAGCCCAGGGTTCCCCCCCACCACCACCACAAAAGGCTAAACCCTCCCACATCAATCACTAACAAAAACTGTCCTATAGCTTGCCTGCAGCTGGATCTTATGGAGGCCTCTTACTCTAGCTTGTGTCAAGCTGACATAAAGGCTAACCAGGACAATTGACCCTTACAGTACACCAATACAACACTAGGTAATAACTACTTTTCCTTTTTGGTTTATCTTCCAAATATCACTTTAATAATTATCATAACATAACACACAACCGAACGTGGACCTGAATCTTAAAACTTGCAGGTTTTAAAATTTGAATATTTTAAAAGTTTAACTCTTTAAAATTCACAGTTTATTTAAGGATCCAAAGTCTCTTTAAACCCCACTAGTCTCTCAACTATAGGTTCCTGTAAAATGAAAATAAGTTAAATATTTTTCTTATTTCAAGAGGGAAGAACCAGAGCACAGTCATAAGCTGGGGAAAAAAAAGACCTCTAACAGTGCAAGTATCTCAGTGTTCAATATCTGCAGTTCACTCAAAAATTTGGCCTCTAACTGACATGCAACCAAGGACCATATATGAATATAACCTAGAACCTCTGCTCAGATGTAGCCTGTGGTAGCTCAGTAACCAATTGGTTTCCCATTGTGAGGGGAACAAGGACTATTTCTAACAGGAACTCAATGACTGGCTCTTTGACCTCCCCACCCCCCAAGGGAGGGGCAGTCCTGTTAGGCCACAGAGGAGGGCTTTGCAGCCAGTCCTGAAGACACCTGATAAAACAGGATCAGATGAATGGGGAGGAGGTCCCCCCATCAGTGGATTTGGCAAGGGGCACAATGGAGATGAGGGAGGGAGGGAGGGACTAGGAGGGAATGAGGGATCGGGACACGGCTGGGATACAGAGTTAATAAAATGTAACTGATAAGAAAAAAATAAAATTAAAAAAAAAATTTGGCCTCTAACAGGCTTGCCGCAGGCAGACAATGAGTCTAATAGGATGTAGCCAGCTCCACTGCTATCTGTAAAACTCTGGAGTCTCCTATGGTATCTGGGCTGTAATTTTGCCTATAGCCTCTCTAGGGCACTGTTTGTGGCACCAAGGCCCAACTTCTATGAATGGATGCTTCAATCCTGGGCCTTTACTGTTACTGAGGCTGAACCTTCACCAGTAGCTTCTTCTGGCTTCTCACAGTACCCATCTTCAGCTGTTCTCCATGACACCTTCATGCCTTCAAAACCAGTGTTAGCTTGGAGACTCTTACACACAACCAAGTTTTGGCCAGAATGAGGAACAACCTAAGTCACACTGGAACTTCTGTACATTGGCTGGGAGGAAACGACTCCCAGGTTTCACCTTTATGGTGCTTGTCACGTCACAATCACTGCATTCTGGGTTTTGTGTGTGTGTGTGTGTGTGTGCGTGCGCCCATGTGTAAATGCTCTTTCTTTGTTAATTTGTTCATTTTTCTCTTTTATTTATTTGTCTGTTCACTTTCTAAAGAAGGAGAGAAGGAAGGCACTGAGTTGGATGAGTGAGGGGGTTGTTGTGATCTGGGAGATGAAGGAATATTGTATGAAAAGTTTACTTTCAATAAAGAATTAAAAACCAATATAAAAAATGGGAATGTGGCTGTCTTATTTAGGCCATATGTTCTACACAGACTTCCCTGATCCAGTCTCTTCAACTACTCAAGCATTACAGTACCATTTAAGTACTCAATACTGGTATCTCTATAATTTTCTTTTTTATATATAATTTTTATTTTTTTAATATTAATCATAGGTTATTTACTTTGTATCCCAGCTCTAGCCCCTCCCTCATTCCCTCCCAAACTCTCCCTTCCTCCCTCTTCTTCTTCTTGTCCCTTTCCAAGTCCACTGATAGGGGAGATCCTCCTCCCCTTCCATCTGACGCTAGCTTATCAGGTCTCTTCAGGACTGACTGCAATGTCCTCCTCTGTGGCCTAGCAAGGCTGCTCCTCCCTTGTGTGTATGTGTGTGTGTGTGGTGGTCAAAGAGCCAGTCATTGAGTTCATATCAGAAATAGTCCCTGTTCCCCTTACTAGGATCCTGAGCTACCATGGGCTACATCTGAGCAAGGGTTCTAGGTTATATCCATACATGGTCCTTGGTTGGAAAAACAGTCTCTTAAAAGATCCCTGTGCCCAGATATATTTTCTTTTGAATCTATTTACCAGGGAGTGGGAAACACATTGTTTCACCAGCAGGAAACAGACTACTTAATTTTATATGCATAGTCACTTAGCTTGTGAGAACAGAATTTTAGCATACTGAAATTCTTTACAATAAAAACTGAAAATTAAAATAACAAGGATATATTCACTTAACATTTTGGCTAAATATCAGTAACAAAGGTCAGCATATAAGGAACTGGGTAACTTGAAGGAGGGTAGAATTGAAACATGCTCTATGGACCCAAAATAATAGAACATATCAAAATCTGTGGAAGGGTTCATCTTTATATTAGGAATCACTGATAAAGAATTAAGTGCTGATGTGTAATTTAATGCAAAAACATTTATAGGGACTATAAGAAATTACCTAATAAAGTTATTTAATTGTGGTATTTATAGAATAGTAGTATTAACCTTGTTTTAATTAGCTGTAAACTTGAAAGCACAAGGAAGTATTAGTTGCTAAATATGTTATAAGACATTACAAAGATTATACATTGTTCCTAAGTAAAGGATTTTTATAGAAAAGAGGTTAGAAAGACAGAATCCAAAATGCTAAATGTATCATAGAATCCATCTTCTCATAAGTGTAATGTTCTCAATATGGTATAAATTTGAGTTATGTAAATTATAAAACAATCCCTCTAAAATTCTTCTTATGAGAACTGAATCTTCCAATATTATTTAGCATCCTAACGCTGGGTTGAAAAACACTTTTAAACACAAACTAAAGCTTAAGGACAAATAATAAAACAAAATTTTAGCAAAAAATATACAAAATGGCCATTTGTTGAAATACATTATAGGCAAAACTGTAAAGTGTCATAAAGATTAATAATTTGTGTTATAACCTGGGGAAAATCAGAATCATAGCTGTTATGAGAACCTCCTTCTATTCTCTTATATTTATTCTTTTTAGGACTTTATGTCTATCTCTAGATCCAAAACTTTGTATAGATTTCTCAGATTATATGGTGAGATTTTCTTATTATACTGCATAAACAATGATTTCTACAAAAATCAGTATTTCTACATCTAAGTATTGTATTTTGCAGTAAGAGTATACAAAATCCCAGGCCAAACAGAAGGGCAAAGAATTATCAAAATCATCACCAAAGAAAGTATTTGAATATATAAGACCCTAAAACTATAAGTTATTTTTGAGGTAATCATAAAAAATAGCCCAGGAGAAATGAGGAAACAGGGTGTTCTGTTTTGGAGGGAGAAGACAGAATTACAGGTTTTACAACATCAGTGTCTTCCATCTATCATAAAGGAGGTGTAAAGCCAGTGTAGATGCCATACGCATCTTTCTTGGCCCCATCTCAACCCATGAAGGAGCCCTAACACTTTCTTTATACTATGTTCAGAGAGTACCAGTTGCTGACAGACATAGCCAAAGACTTTCCCCATTGAACTGGACCTGGCCAAGACAAGCTAGTCTGTCAATCTTCCTCCCCTAAAGACCTCTCTAATCTTTTCACTAGTAGATGCAGACACACAAAGCCATCCCTTGCCTCAGCCATAGGCTATTGTAATGTGCTTCAGTTCTTTCTTTAGAACACAGTATAGAAAACATTCTTTACTGAACTGTGTCAAACCCAGGTAAGCTTCCCAGGGAATATGATCACACTCATGTGAAAGAACTCAGCAGAATAATGAACTTCTGTCATC